ATAATGCCCGACCACACACCGCAGTAATAGTGCGAAACTTCTTAGAAGCTACGGGTATCACCACATTACAGTGGCCTGCGAGAAGCCCCGATATGAACCCTATCGAACATTTGTGGGATGAATTAGGGAGAAGGATACGTTCTCGCGAGAGGCCTCAGGAATGCCTCGCAGAAATAGCAGATGCGTTAGTGGAAGAATGGGATCGTATACCAATGGAAACGATAAGAAACCTGATTTCCAGTATGCCGTTTAGATTAGAAACTCTTAGAGTTGCTAGTGGAGGCAATACACGGTATTAAGCAGTTATCCCAGTTTATAATTTAGTGTTTAATAAAACTTTTTTAAAAATTCGTATCAGTTTATTTCACTAGAAAACTGTTTTTCCATAAATTCAGAAAGTTGGCAATATGCAAGGTTTCAACAAAAAAGCTTCAATTCGGACAATTTTAGAGATAAATTAATGAATAAAAAAAAAGCTCATAAAAGAAACGTCTTTCATATAGGGCGTAAGCACTTTTTATACCATTACTTGATTAATACACAGTGTGAGTCAAAAATTAGGAAAAAAACATGGTTCCAGTTTTTCCACTACCATCCAGGAGTCATTGAAAAAATTTCCACCTTTTTAATTTTTTTTTAAGACAAAGGAATTGGTTACCAAAAAATAAAAAAATAATAAAAATCGGTCCACTGGTTTAAAAAATATAAAATATTAAAATTAGGTCAAAAATCAAGTGCGTCACTTTTTTTGGAACCGAGTGTACTTTTGGAACGTAGTAGCTTACTTAACTTAAAATAGTTATTAAAAAAGACATGTGTGTACATGGTTACAAAATAACAATAAATAAATATTAGATCTTACCAAATCTTATTATCAAGTCGTATGTAAATGATACAAATTTATTACTACATAAATAGAAATCATAACACTTTATTTGCCATATATCTCTACTGGCGTGGATCTAAATGTTAACGGTTTTTTTTTCACCCGTGCGAAGTAGCAACAAACTTTTACACGTAATTTTCTATTTACTTTCTTAGCTGATATCTTTCTTATCATTCGAGATAGCGAAAAGCTAAATGCACCATTTGAAAGCTTGATTAATTCTCTATCTAAAACCGGTCCGTAGATAAGTTCATATTAAGATCAATAAAAGATGAAGAACATCGCTCTGTACTTAGATTAAACTGCTCAAAATTACCAAACTTCAAGCCCTTGAGCAATGTTATCAAACCGAATTTAAAAAAAACTGTTATCACACTCAGAAAGAGCGCTCTTTCAACTATCTTAATCCGGGTTTTCGTTGGTCAATCGGCGGCATAGTTAAATCACCCTTAATATATATACAGGTGTCCAAATTTCGATGGGTTTGCAGAGTATCTCAGTTATTATGAAAGATAGAAAGTTGCGGCTTTCGCGAACCTTTTTTGTGAAACTTACCAAATTTTCATAACCCTCTTCGTTTCTGATATACCGGGAGTGTTTGAAATTTATGATTTTCAAACACCTCCTGTATCTCGGCTATCCGGAAACTTAGTAAAAAAGTAAAAACGGGTTAAGGTAACGGCTAAATTGGTTAAGGAATTATTATTGTTTTAAATTTATGCCTGGTATTTATCCATAAATACCACTTCACACCAGTATTTTAAATTAAGCACACGCAAAATACGCGCACATAGAAGCATTCACCCCGATAGTACGCGTAACACATCTAAGAGAAAAGCTCAATATGGGCCCTCCATGAGATTTTTGAATCCATTGTTTTTGAATCCCCAAGAAACTTGAATGTGTCCGATGTGAATAATATTACATCTTTAAACTTTATACCTATAGGGTCACTTCCAAAAGTAAGTATGCTCGTTTTTCCAATGTTCAATGTCAAGTTGTTGTCTGTAAACCATGCATTAAGTTTCATAAGGTTTATTTTCAGAGAATTTATTATTTTCTTTCTATCTTTCTCGCTCGCAACCACCAGCAAAAAGGATCAATAATTCATCAGTCATAGTAGATAGATCATTAATATACATGAGAAACAACAAAGGGCCAAGGATAGAACCCTGGGGCTCGCCACTGTTAGTATACATCCATTCTGACCTTATTTCATTTCCTTGTTTGCCATAAGAGGTCACACATTGACTCCTTCTAGACAAGTAAGACCTGAACGAAAGTAATGGTGTACCTCTGATGCCCATGTTTGCGATTTTATGAAACAACGTTTCATGATGTACGCAATCAAATGCTTTCGTTAAGTCCATAGACAAACAGCACGTGACATGTTTTTTATTCATATTATACGTAATTTTTTCCAGCAATTGGAATATCGCTCTAGAGGTTATTCTGCCTTTGATATATCCATTCTGCGTATTGTTTAACAAATTGTGTTTTATTAAAAAATTCATCATTCTGGTAAAAACTATCTTCTCAATAATTTTAGAAATATTGAATATAAGCGCAAACGGTCTATAATTTGAGAAATAAGTCACTACTCTTTTTTTGAAAATTGGTTTAATTATTGTTAATTTGAGATTCTTAGGAAATATGGTCAACCACTCCTCTTTTAATACCTGAATCGAAAAACCATCGACTCCTACGGCTTTGATATTTTTTAGACTTTTAATAATATTCTCTACTTCTTTTTCGTCTGTAAGATACATAGCAAAGGTCGAATGTAATGACTTTCTTTTTAGTGTTACGTTTGTACTTTTTTCGGTAAGCACGTTGCGTTGGAGTGAATTAATTTGTGTGTGAAAAAAACCATTGTTAAGAGCTATTGTTCTGATAATCTGAAATTCGTTATTTTTATTTACATCTGATAAAGGTGTGTTAAGACATCTATGGATGTAAGTTCTAAAAGCAGCTATTTTATGTGAAGAATGATGGAAAGATGTTTGAGGAATTATAGCATCAGCCTGAGTAGGTTTTCTGTATATTTTGAATTCGATGTTATTGTTAAAATTGATAAGTGTTAGAGCTGGAAAGATAAGTTGTATGTCTTTTTCTATTTCAATAGAACTTTATATTATTATGGGGAGAATTAATATAATTATGAAAATCTTTGATATGTATATCGTTCTGGTTGTTCCAAATTATTAAAATATCATCTACATATCTACGCCAAAGTATCATATTTTTATTAATAGGATTGTTTGGACTGAGAATAGTGCTTTCCATATGGTTGAGAAAAATGTCAGCTAAAAGACCACTCAGAGGGGATCCCATGGGTAAACCTTCGTTATATTTGTAAAATTTATGTTGAAATTGACAAAAATTCTGTTCAGTATAAAATTGTAAATGTGGTCAACATCTTTTGAAAGAAGTTTATCCTTGATAATATCTTTAGTAATATTTAAAGTTTTGATAATTGGGATATTAGTGTATAAATTTGTAACATCAAATGATAAAAGAGTGAAGCTATCAGGTAGTTGAATGGTTTTTATATTGTTAATTAGATCAATTCTATTATTGACAGTGAATTTAGCTTTGAAATTAATTGTTTCCTTGAAAAATTGATTTAAAAATTTTGAAATTTTATAAGTACTTGAGTTTATAGATGAGATAATTGGTCTGATAGGGTAGTTAGCCTTATGTAATTTAATTAGTAACTACGCAAGAGGGATTTTAGGATTCATAGGTAATAGATTAAATGTATTTAAATTTTGTTATTTAAAAAATCAATAGATGATTTTATATTTTTAGTTTTCAAATGAAAGGTAGAGGTTTTTTTCTTTATATCTGTAAAATTGTTATTTGTAAAAAATTCTAATGCTTTGGAAATATAAGTTTGTTCATCTATGAAAACTAGGCCTGCATTTTTATCTGCATTGGTGACGATAATAGAATTAGATTTAAGTTTTTGTTTGATCTTTTTATATTCTCTAAACAAAAAGATTAAATTGCGTCATTTAGAACAATTTGAAACAGATAGATTCAAGAGTAACAATCCCCATTTAGAATGCCTCAACGATCAGGTCTAGAGTACAAAAACTCCTTTATATAAATTCCTAACTCATCCATTTCCCCAAAATGCAGAAGATAATGCATCTGGACCACGTTCATTTTTTGCACTTTTTGGGGTCCCAGTGGCCCCAAAAACTTCCATTTCTTATATCCCCGCTTCCATTTCTTATATATCTCCCTACACCCTAATCCTTTTCTCTCCCTTTTCCCCTTTGCAATTCTATGAGCTATAATAGCTTTATACCTCATAGAATGTAACTTAAAAATTTAACAAAAGTTCAATAAAAATTTAATAAAATTTATACAAAACAGAATGTCCATTTTCAAATATTTAATATTGTCTCCCAATTTATAACAATTTCAACGATTTTTTTAGAGTTAGAACGTTCTAAGTTTTTAAAATGTTACGTGGTTGTAAATTATACTTTAAACATTTATATTTTAATTTACTTTTTAATTTTAAAGAATGTTAACTTGATATTTTAATCTATTATTGTGTCCTAAAAACTGTAACTTTATTTTCTATTTTGTTAAATTTGAAATTCTAATTATAATTTTTTAATTTATAATATTATTATGATTATTAATTAATTATAGAGTCTCTGATTATCTCCCGCTATTAGCCGAAGGTAGTAAAACTCATGTTTATTATCTAATTAAAGACCAGTTTTGAAAGTACAAAAAACATTACATATTATTTCTCCTAAATACGAAATAAATAGGATCTTCATTATATGTATAAGTATTGTAATATGAGGTAAGAGCAACCACATTTTCAAATTATATTCTCTATATAAAACAGGATATTAAATATAGTAGTGCCCTCTGTCGTTGAATGGATTTAGAGTCTAGAGTAAAGTCATAGGGCTCGTCAACGCGTAAATTAGTACGGTAAAATTTTCCCTTGCATCTTTAAAAACAATAATAAATTTGCAATAATAAATAATTCTATAAAATTTAATAGATTTATTTTTAAAATCATCAATTTGGTTTGTATCTTATACAAAAATAGTTATTGTTGGGTAATAAAGAATCAATAAAATCAACGTTTCTTTTTCTCTTAATAAAGATCAACAACAAATTCTACTCTTACAAAATAATTATTATTAACATCGCTTTGAGGTAGAATTCCAAATAATTACTCCATTTTTACTTCTGTTTGCAATCGAGTCCCACGTAAAGCTGCTGATAGTATAACCGGTTCAGGTAAACTTACAGTTTCTGGTTCTTCACTGGAGATATCATATTTTTTCATAGGTGTTAATCGTCGTACATTTCCTACTATATTTAAACCTTAAATTAATCGTATTATTTTAAAATAATAATTTTAAGCCATAAATATTCACCATGGACGGATCTTTTATGTTGTGTTAATAAATAACCCATTAGAAATGTTTCCTCACAAAGATCACACTGAAATCGTTCACCTGTATGTCTTCGAACGTGCGCCTTTAAATCGTTTCCTTGGGCGAAAGCAGCAGGACAATATGTACATTGATAAGGTTTTTCACCTGTATGAGTTCGCATATGAACCCTTAAATTATAAGCTCTAAAAAAAGTAAATTGTACTTTACTATAATAGGTTATATGATCGGAAGGAGGAAGGTGCACGTACTGGGATATGCCGACGACCTGATAGTGATCGCGAGGGAGGCGGGTGAGAAGAGGGCAATGATGCATCGCTGGAAAGGTATTTTAGCCGGAAGGATTTGGAGGTAAACGTAGATAAAACAAAAATGATGAAATTCTGTAAAGAGGGTCGAAGGAAGACTGACGACTGGAGATGGGAGGGTGATGGAGGAAGTTAGGCAGTACACATACTTGGGGTACAGATTTAAAAAGAATAACAAGGAGGACGGACATATTAGAATGTTGGCTGCGAGGGCGAATAGGGTTATGGGACAGGTTTGGGGATGGGATGAGAAGATTTTTGGGAAAGATGATAAAAAGCGTAATGATGTATGGGGTGAAACTATGGGGATGGAAGGAGCAAGGGTTCTTAGAGGATGTGCAGACCAGGTACTGGAGGTGGGTTTTGGATTGGCAAAAGACTCCGGGATATACAGGGTGATTTATTAGCTCACCATCAAACTTTGACATATGATAGCTAATCTAATTACCAAAAAAAATATTAATGAACATATGTCCTATTTCAATTATTTACGAAATTATAACACTTTAAAGTTTTAATATCATATGTCAAAGTTTGATGATGAGCTAATAAATCATCCTGTATAGTCAGGGAAGAAATGAAGGTAGATAAGGTGAGAGTGGAAGCGGGTAAGCGAGCGGTGCGTTTTGAGGAGCGGATGGAAGGTAGAGGGCATTTTAAAATCTTGGGGGAGTGCTACAGACAGACTGAGGCAAGTGGCGTTATAGGCAACGAGAAAAGGAGGAATACTACAGAAGGGTGATTTCAAGTGAAGGGGTATTCAATGGAAGAAGTGAACAGGAAAAGAAAAGAGAGGATTGAGATGTGGAAACAATTCAACAAGCAAGAGAAAAGGACGGCTGTAAGAGAAAGCAGGTACATAATAAAATTGTAGTAGAGGGGCTACCAAAGTACCTGCTAACGGAGGGGGATGAGGATGGGAAGGGGTTGGTAGCCAGGTTTAGGTGTCGGAATGAAGAAAGGGCCAACGGATATTGGATGGAAGATGAGGAGAAGGGGTGCAAGCTGTGGGGAGGGCTGGGAGTCTCTACACCATCTGCTGGTGGAGTGTAGTGAGTTGAAAGAGGAGGTGATGGATAGGAGACAGTTGTTGGGGTAGAGGGCGGAAGGAAAAAGATGGATAGGGGAGGTGGTGGCAGCAAGGTAGGCTTGCCAGATATCCCGTATTTTACGAGACGTCCCATTTTTCAGTATGACAATACGGGACAGAACATCGTCCCATATTTCGGTTTTTCGAGCTTTTTTGTTTATTCGTTTCGATTCGTATATCCTCGTTTTGTTGTGATTTTGTGTTTTGTTGCAGTGTAAAATGTCTAACTCGACCGCAGTCACAGTGTCTGACGATGAGAACAGTGGCAGCGAATCAGTTATTTCAAAAAAACGTAAACGCTTCTGCCAATACAAGCATAATTGGGAGACTAGTTATTTTTGGATAAAAAATTGTGAAGACAATGTGTTCAAAACTTTCTGCACATTGTACAAAAAGCACTTCAAAGTGGCCGGCGGAGGACTCAATGACGTAAAACAGCATGACAGAGGTGTCGAACATCAAAATAGGGTGAAACAGGTGAAAACCAACCAATCTACTGCGAAGTTCTTTGGATCCCAAGCGTGTACGTCATCATCGAAGAAAGTTCCTACAGCGAAACTTACAAACGTTTATCATAACATAGTGCATGAACAATCTTAACTTTCGTTAGACTGCACTAAACTGGCTTCGATCATATATGGACTCCAAAATTGCTGGTGACATAAAATTAGGAAGGACCTCTATCCATAAAAACAGCCGTAAAGAGATTGGTTTATCAAGACATTTTTTATTCAATAGGTACAGATGCAGCAAACCGCGGAAACATTAAAATGTATCCTTTAGTGGTATGATACTTCACATTACAAGACGGCTTGAGAAACTATTTACTGGATTACTATGAAGACGCAAAAGAGGCCTCAAACGATATACTTACAAACATAAAAAAAACGTTCTCGTATTTTTCAAGTCACACAAAGAGAATAGGTGAGCTAAAGGAGGTGTTTCAGTTCATGGATATAGAATGCTCGCCCTTGCTTCGACATGTAACTCGATGGTTATCGTTGCATCCAGCAATAGAACGACTCTACAAAAATCTGACGGCTGTGAAATGAACTTCGTAAATGAACCTGACTGCCCAGTACATGTTCTCAAATATTTCAAGACTACTGATTCTGCGGCAATGCAGAATACCAATGAAGATGTGTTGGATGTAAAAATATGTTTGGCGTTTTACCACCATGTCCTAACAATTTTTCAAGAAGCTATACTTCAACTTGACCGTGCAAACATGTTAATATGCAGGGTGTACGGAATTATGGACCGTTTAAGGCAAAAACTGAAGCAACGTCTTGAAGGTGCTTTCTTTGGTATGAATATGCAGCAATCACTTCGAAAACTACTTAATACTGAAGCAGAAAAATATAAATCCATATTTCTCATCTGGTACAGAGACGCAATCAACTATCGTGAATCAAGAGTTGACTTTAACGAAAACACTAATAGTTTTTACTTGTTGCAAAAATTGACACTGAAGATTCAACGAAATTCTAGATGTTAGTATAAAATTAAAAGTTTATGTCTTTTATTTCATATAGAATTTAAGTCTAATTAGTTTCTGCTCTTAGCCAATCCAATCCAGTACGAAGACTTGGTTAAAATTGTGTCACAGCTAAATATAAATATCGACATAGATGTATTATATGAGAAGTATTCTGTGCTCAAACCAATTATATTTAAAGTATATAATTGCGGAAAAGGAGTGTAATGAAAATGCTAAAGTCCTCGACACCTAGATACGCATTCTAAAGTCAACAACATGATGAAATTAATGAAAACGATTTTTTTGGCAAACTACTTCAGTTTATGTTTTCGATCCCAACCTCCAATGCACAAGCTGAAAGAATCTTTTCCTTGTACGGAAACAACACTGTACAGGGTGGGCAAATTTGGGTGTTATTATAGGCTATCTCAGAAACTACAAGAGATACGAAAAAAAGTAGGTGCCATGTCCCGGTCTCTTTTTTCGAGACTAACCGAACCCCGCAAACACCAAACCTCTATCTTCTTTTGTTTTTAAGTTATAGCCAAACAATCAAATTTTCGTGATTTCAAACAATGCTCATATTTCGTTTATTTTTGAAATTAGAGAAATGGGGTTGATACGTTCTTAAGACACTTTTTTAAGTAGAATATACTGCCGTTGAAAAATTTTAAAAATATTTGTTGATTTTTGAGATACAACACAAAGTTGTATTTTTTTAAATACAAACTATACTTGATTATGATGGTAATAAAAAGAGCATATTTTTAGCTTTACAATGATGTATCGCATGTATGGTGTATTTGCGGAAAATAAGCGTTAATTTTCAATTTCAAAATAGTAAGCGCTAAAGTTCATAATTTTGATTATAGTAGGCGGGTTCGGACAGTAAATACTACCTAATTGCTATACGGTTTTGCACGAATATGACGGAAAGTTGGTCTTGTACCATTATGCAGGATAAAGTTGGTTTTGTACCAACGAATAAAAACTTTGAATAGTTGATTTAAATTTCTCAGTGTCTTATCTCTAACTTTGTTCACTAATAAAAAATGATTTGTAGATAAAGTTTGTTTATTAAAAATACAAGAAACGTATTAATTAATGAATAATTAAATATGAACAACAACTTCCGGAACTAAACAGTCATAGACTGTGTCATCTTCTTCTACTTACAACTTACTGGTTGTAAGGTTAGAACAGTTGGGTATCAAGGAATGAAATTTTCGGTAGTATCTTCCCAATTTTCCCCAACCATGAGATTTAGAAGTTTTTTTATATTAACAACTTGTTCTTTTAAAATTGGGTGAGACAGAGGAAGATTAGGGATCATAAACTGGGCAGCGAACTTTCCATTGAAACGATGTTTATATGGGATATGGAGCCTTATCTATTATTTTCAAAGAATAATTTTTTAATTTTATCGCTTTATGTATTTAAAGATAATGAGGAATTTTTAGCGGGAAACTCGTTTCGAAAAATTCATTAATGAAATGATCAGTAAACTCACGTTACTATAGTAACTAAGTGACATTTAACATTTTCCTCGCCTACTATAATTAAAATTTGGAATATTAATCATTAATATTTTAGAATTAAAAAATAACGCTTATTTTCCCCAAATACACCATGCGTGCAATACATCATTGGAAAGCTAAAAATATGCTCTTTTCAGTAACACCATAATCAAGTATAATTTGTATTTAAAAAAATACAACTTTGTGTTGTATCTCAAAAATCATCAAATATTTTTTAAATTTTTCTACGGCAGTATATTCTACTTAAAAAAGTGTCTTAAGAACGTATCAACTCCATTTCTCTAATTTCAAAAATAAACGAAATATGAACATTTTTTGATATCATGAAAATTTGACTTTTTGGCTATATCTTAAAAACAAAAGATAGAGGTTTGGTGTTTGCGGGATTGGGTTAGTCTCGAAAAAAGAGACCGGGACATGGCACCTACTTTTTTCGTATCTCTTATAGTTTCTGAGATAGCCTATAATAACACCCAAATTTGCCCACCTGTACATACATGGATCAAGAATCGAAACAGATTAGATATACAAAGTGTGAAGGCAGAATTACAAATAAAAACAAACTTTAATCTGTCACGCAAAGACTTTTATAAATATATTTTAGAAAACGATGCAGCTCGTAAAACATCTAAAACCTGCCAAAAATATAAATAGGTAATTCTCAAAACTAAGTAATTTGTTTATGGAAAAATGAATTCACTTTATGTTACATAAGTGTACATAAGTTATGTACTACAGTAGTACTACCACTGTGGTACGCTGAGAAATT